GGCTATCTGCCCCTTATTGTCTTTTTCTATCTCTTTCCTGGCTTGCCTTTTTTTCAGGTTTCCCTCTCTTTGTCTTCCTGGCATCTCCATCTTTCCAGTCTCTCTCCTCCCCTCCTTTCTTTTCTCTCCCTCTCTTCATCCTATTCCTCCTCTGTCTCTAATCTCAACTCTACCCCCATCACTTCCCACATTCTGAAATCTTCAATCTCACATGAAGGTCACATAGTACACATTTGTGTCCAATAAACCACATCTAGTCCCCATTCCTTTAGGTTGGGGTATGTGCAGAGCTTCAGGGGCTTTGAGGAGTACAGGGTTAGGAAGAGCTGAAGTTAAGGGCAGGCAGCAGCCAGAGACCTTGCTGGAAGTATGGTTAGGTTTTCAGGATCAAAGGATTTCAAGTTGAGAGGGACCTTAGAGATCATCTAATCCAGCCCCCTTGTTTTACAGATCAGGAAACTGTGGTCTAGGGAGGAGGAGTGACTTGGTCATGGTCACAAAAGTAATATAAATGGCAGAATCAACATTTAAACCCAGGCTTCTGACTCTAAACCCAATGTTCCTACTAACTACTTTACAGTGTAAAGGAGAAGAAGGGAAAGAGACTAAATGGGAAGTGAAACCTAAGAAGAACAGAAACTAACAGTGGGGAGAAAACTTCCAGAGGTAGAGAGACCCCAGAAAGATTATCAGAGGGAGAGAAACTGAAAAATGGGACTATTCCAGTGGTGTAGGGACGAATCCCAGAGGTGTTTCCAGAGGCAAGGTTTCCAGTAGGGGGCAAAGACCTAATGGTGGGACTTGCTAGAAAGAAAGGAATCCCCAGACTAAGAAACTCCTCAGTGGAGCCCTGAGAGAAACCCCAAAAAGAGGCTCTCAGAGCAAAGAAGGCCCCTATCGGTGTGGGAGGGAGGGGCAGAAAGGTCCCTAGAGGTAGGTGGAAGAAGAACCTCAGAGGAATTAACAGAGGGCAAAGAAACCCATTGTAGGTCCACCAGAGGCAGAGTGATTCCAGAGAGCAAACTGCCCCCACAGGCAGAGTGATAGGTATTCCTGAAGCAAAGGTGGCCTCATAGAGGGGAGTCCTAGAGGAGAGGGTCACTATTCGGGGCAAAAAGGGGCACCGCCTCCCTGGGGTGGAAGTCAGAGATCCCACAAGAAGATCCCACATGCTCTGAGCCTGCCCTTAACTCTGGCCCTGGCACTCATGGTCAGAAGAGTTGGGGGGAAGTGGTTGAGGGGGGTGAGGGGTTGACAGCTGCAAAGAGCTTTTCCTGCTCCAGCTCCTCCTGTTTCCAATTACACCCCCGGGCGGAAACTCCACAAGTCAAAGAAGAGCCACCTAAGCCCAGGAGGCCATCAGGGCCTGGAACATGTGAGCAGAATCAGCCCTGCCCGATGCTGGGGGCAGGGTCTGAGCCAGGGCCACCTCCTGCCAGCTTCCTCCCCAGCCCCACCTGCTCCCCAGGGACCCCAGGGTCAGCCTGGAATTGAATGAAGCCTGGCATGCCTGGGGCTGAGAGCTCCCCTGGCTTGTTACCAGCTGCTTCCTTCTCTCCCATCCCAGCGTGCTGTTGGTTATTTCAGTAGTGGCCTCCTTCCTCAGGCCTCTCATACCCAGTGATCACCAGCTAAAAGGATGCTTCCTCCACCCCCAACCCCAGCTCATTGGTCTGACAGAGGACTCAGATCAGCCACAGCTCCCTGCCCTACCCCAACCCCCAACCCATGTAGAAACCTACACCTGCTAGCACCTGCTAGGAGTCTAATCTGCAGAGGAGACTATATTCATGGGAGATGAAGGCTGTGATAAATCATAGGATCATAGAGTAAGAGCTGAAAGAGGCCTCAGAGGCGATCCAGTCCAGTCCCCTCAATTTAGAGATGAAAAAGTCAGAGAGGGCAAGTGACTTTCCCAATATCACATAGGTAGTAAGTGACAGAACAAGGATTTGAACCCGGGACTGTCTGATGCTAAATTCAATTTGTCTTTCAGAGCAGAGAATATTCGAAGGTAAAATGTTAAAGCTGGAAATGACCCTACAACATAAAATGTTATAGAACACAGAACAACACCAAAAGGGATTCGGTGACTCCTTTTGGGGTTTTCTTGGCAAAAATACTAGAGTGGTTTGATATTTCCTTCTCCAGCTCATTTTTACAGGTGAGGAAAATGGGGCAAACAGGGTTAAGGGACTTGCTCAGGGGCACACAGCTAGTAAATGTCAGGGGCCACATTTGAACTCAAAAGATGAATCTTCCTGACTACAAGACCAGCACTCTAACCACTGCACCATCTAGCTGCTCCCATCTAGTTGAACATACCTTTGGATTTAGAGTTGAAGGGACCTTAGAGATTTCTTAATCCAACCTTGTTATTTTGCAGACAAAGAAACAGGTGAAAGAGGTGAAAGTGACTTGTTGATGGTTATATCATAACAAATAAATAGCAGGGCTGAGATCTGTACCCAGGTTTCTTCAACCCACATGTGGCCTGGAGGCTGCAGGTTCCTCACCCCAGTCCTATCCCTTAGGGCTTTCAGCAAAGAAAGAAAGAGAAATTGAAAACTCAACTTTTATTTTTCCCAGCAAGGACAGACTTGGAGCATGCTAACCAGAGTGCCTCTTCCTATGGAGTGAAGATTCCTGTCTTTATATGGCAGAGATGCCTGGCTCCCCAAATGCTCACTCACCACAACAGCTCTAGCCACAAAAGTCATCCACCTGGGACCAAGCTGTTTTGTTTGTGATTTCTTAATTTTTTAAAAAGTAAGTGATATTTAGCTAACACAGCAAATTTGGATTTTCATCTTCTCTGCTTTCAATTTAAATTCTTCTGCCACAAGCCCACACAACCTCCTGCTCTGTTTAGAGAGACATTAGAGGATGAAGGAGAAAAAAAATAACAAGATGATATTTGCTTCCTGCATCTATGACAAAGTGAAATAGTGGAAATAGCTGATTCAGGAGACCTGGATATGGCCACTAACCAAGGGCAAGACACAGACTCAGAAAGATTTAAAAGGGACCTTAGACTATAGAATGTTAGGACACTGAACATTCCAGTCTATTCTTATTATTTTACAGTTGGGAAAACTGAGGTACAGAGAAGTGAAATGATTTGTCCAGAGTCACCTAGCAAGTTAATGGTAGATCTGGGAAAGAATTTTTTTTTTGGCCTCACGTACAGAAACCATGCTTCCCTCCTCCAGATCCAACCAACCTTCCAAGTCCATCCTAGCTCAAAGACCTCCATTTCTCTTCTGCTTAGCCTAGGTAGCCAGAACAGGAAAGGGCAGGAATTTGAAAGAGACAGATTTAAATTGACATTCAACAACTTGATCTTTAGGACAATAAAAAGAGCTGCCTCACTAGAAGACATCAATGGAAGGGTGGCCAACTACTTGTTGAAAAGTATTTTAAAGGAGATTCTTAGTCAGATAAAAGCTGGACTAGATGACCCCTGAGGTCCCTTCCCATCCTGAGATTCTTTGATCCTTAACATTCTAGCACTCATGGTTTTCAGTCTATGTCTTAACATTGTATTAAGGGCAATTGGGTAGTATAGAGGACAGAGCACTGGATCTGGAATCAGGAACATCTAAGTGCAAATCTCGCCTCAGATGCTTACTAGTTATGTGAACCTGTACAAGTCTCTTGACTACTATCTGCCTCAGTTTCCTCACCTGTAAAACAGGAATAATAATAGCATTTCCCTTCCAGGGTAGCTGTGAGGATAAAATGTGGTAATATTTGTAAAAGTACTATATAAATGGTAGCTATTATTATATTCTAAGTTCCTTTCAAGTTTTCTGGAAATTAAGTGAAATTAATATTTCGGGGGGACCTGAACTAACTCACCTGGCATCTAGGAGTCAGAGGAAAGATATGTAAGAAAAAGCACAGGGGACTCTAGTCCCATCTGGGAGTCTTTCCCCCTCCTCCCCCAGGAATGGCATGGTCAATGAAAAAGAGATACTTCACTACAGGTTATCATTCACTGCAGGCAGACATTTACCACTTTTTGTAAGTTACACTTTCCTGGTGAAAGCCCCACCAGAGGCTTTAGGTGAACTAGCTACAATAGGTTGTAGGAGACAGTCCTGCCTCCTTTTTCTTTTTATGCTCAGACAGTGTTTTTGCCCTTTCCTGCCTCATTCACGTTCACTGAATTACCAGGGTCAATAGATGGATCTTTTTCCCCCCACCTCCTTCTATTGGAGATCTAGTAGCTTATGGAGGGTCTTGCAGAATCAGAATGTAAGAGAGTTGGAAAAGATCTTGGAATGCAAAATGTTCTAACATAGAATGTAAGAACTTAGGACAAAGAATATTTAAGTTAGAAAGGACCTTGGAGGTCATCTGGTCCAAGTTCCTTATTTTACAGATTGAAAGGAAAAACAGCTCTGGTCTCAGATCCTGAATGCATCCTAATATTGTACTATTTACATTAACTTAGTAAGAGTTCAAATTGATTGAGATGTGTGCTGGGCAGGGTGATACTAAGCATAAAAAGCACTGGTCAAAATGTCCCCTTCCAGGATCCTATCCCCTTTCCCAGGCCCCAGCCAAGAGTATTCCCTCCCGCTGCCAGGCCATAACATTCCTTCTCCTGGTCACAGCACCACCCCAATCCAACACTAAGAAGCCACAGGGTCAGTTCCCCGAGGGGATGACTGGTATGAGAGCTTTTAGCAGATCACCCACCAGTAGAAAAGAGTGGTTCTAGGGACATAGGTCTCTAGTAGAGGACTAAAGAAAGGCAAGTCATTTTCCCTTTCTGAACCTCAGTTTCCCCTTTGACATCCTATATTCTAACATTCTAAGTCCCAGGGTCTCCCTTAACTCTGACATTCTGTGTTTTAAGGTTGCTTCCAACCCTGACATTCTATGTTCCAAGATCCTTTCAAGTCCTGACATCCTAGGGTTCTAAAGACATAATGATGAAGGGAGCCGGTGTGAGCAAAGGAATCACTTCCCCTGGGCTCCCTAGGACTTACCTTGCTGTTGGCCCTCACTGAGGCGACGTAGAGCACCAGTGGCAACCAGAGCAGTCCGCGTCGGGCCATGGCTGGGGCTGGACAGGCTGGACAAGAGGGACGAGCCGCTGGGCTGGGCTCAGCTCGCAGTTAGGTCCCTGAAGCTCCCGCCGCTCTTTCTGACCGCCCCGCCCTCGCCTGCCAGGCTTGTGTAGGGGCCGGACCAGGGGGTGGGGCCGGAGTGGCCAGCCCCACCCCCCTCATTCCCTTACCCCTGGGACCGTGGGTTGGGCCCTGGCCGCCGCCCTGCCCCGCCCATCCCTCCGGCCCCCAACCCTCGGCGCTGGGACTTTCCCATGAGCAGAGTGGTTTGTTTGAATTTGTGATTCCCTTTCCTCGACTAGGCACGTGTTTGTTTTAAAAAAAATTTGAAGTATATTAAAAGCATTTGGTTTGGAGAATTTCACAACCTGGAGACAATTGGAGACATTGGGGTGGGGTGTCAAAACTGGGATTATGAAGGGTCTCCTCATTTCTCTTCGGCTTTTTCCTTGCTCTCTTCCTTATTAGACTTCTCCGCCCCCGCATCTTGTCTACTTAACATACTCTCCCAGTCTTTTCTTCCCTCTATTTTTCTCTCTCTAATCTCCTGCATCTCTGTCTTCTCTCCACATACACCCCCCTCCTTTTTTCTGCTTCTATGACCTCTTTGCCTTTCCTCTCTATCTCAGTCTTTGTCTCAACTTCATTTTCTCGCTTTCTTCCTGTTTGCTTGGACTCAATTCACTATGTCTTTCTGTGTCTCTCTTTTTCTCTCCCTCCTCAACGTAGACTCATCACTTCTTTAGTCCAGAGCAGAGATTTCTACACCCTGACCCTCAATTCCACTTTCTCTAGCCAAACATGTGAAACCAACAATTGGCACGAGCCATTACTACTGGGTTCTTTAGCTCACGGTTTCCCACTTTTTCAGTGGTGTCCGACTCTTCATGACCCCATTTGGGGTTTTCTTGGCAAAGATACTGGAGTGGTTTGCATTTCCTTCTTCAGCTGCTCATTTTACTGATGAGGAAACTGAGGCAAATAGGGTTAAGGGATTTGCCAGGGGTCACATAGTTAGTAAATGACTCAGAAAGATGAGCCTTCTTGACTCCAGGCCGGGCACTCTAACCACTATCTAGCTGCTCACATTTCCCACTCTAGAACCACCCAATTATCATTTATTCTTTCAACATTCACGACCTTCCACCCGGAGCAGGGACGTAAACTCCTTGAGGGCAGGGGCGATTACTTTCTATACTCACAGTTCCAGGCATAGAGCCTTGCATCCAGTAGTTATTGTATTATTTACATGACTTAGTAAAAGTTTAAATTGATTGAACTGTGTGCCAGGCAGGTAGTAAGCAGAAAAGTCTTTGGACTAGGAGGCCGAGGATGTAGATTAGAATCTCGGCCCTGTCATTTGCAGCTGTGGAAGCTTGGGCAATAGTTTCCTTTTTCTATAAAATGGGGTTAAGGATACTGCACAGAGCCGTCGTGAGGTAAGTGCTTTGGAAAGCATAAAAGATGATCTATTCCATTACTTTCTTGGAAAAAACAAGAAAAAAAGAAAGAAAGAAAAAGATAGAATTACGATAGAAAATGGCAGAGGTCACCAATCCCTTTCTCAATGCCCTCAGGGATATTTCCCCCTTTCCTCTTTCCCTCTACCCTATCCTTCAGCACTTTCCGAGCAACCTCCCCTCTCCCCCATCAGTCCATGCAAAATAACGGAGCTTCAGAATCTCAGAACTGGGAGAGTCCTTAGAGGTCAATTGGCCCAAGGGTTCCCGGTCTTTTAGAATTATGAGGATCTCTTTTAAAACAACAACAAAAAATATTTAAATTGTAAACCTCCCCCCCATACACACACAACCTAGTAGTACCATTAATATCCATTGAGAAAATACATGACAAAAAGTTAGTGTGAATTCAGAAGTATTGTAAATAAATTTGTTTTCTTAATCACAACATCTAAATTCAATTAAAAACAGAAAATATGTGTGTTGAGATAGTTTATTCAATCTGCAGAGGGTATATTTGCTTATTGTATTGAATTATGCTACATATTTCATTGGAGCTAAATAAAAAGGACAATGGTTGGTGGGCATTTGGGTTTCTGGAACCCTTGCAAAAACTCCAAGCCCCAGGAACAGCTAATGGCACAGTAGATAAAGCACTTGGAGTCAGGAAGGATTGAGTTCAAATCCAGCCTCAGATACATGACACTTATTAGCTGTGACCCTGAGAAAGTCACTTAACCCCGATTGCCTTACCAAAAAAATAAAAAAAAAAACCCTCTGAGCCCCGCTGCCCTGTCAAAGGAGGGACGTCCTTGGCCTATAGGTTGGGAATGACTGATCTAGTCCAACTGATATCTGAACAGGAATCCTAGGGCAGTGCATGGAGTGTTGAACTTAGAGTCTGGAAGACCTAGGTTTGAATCTTCTTTCAGGTACTTAATAACTGTGTGACCCTAGGCAAGCAATGCAATCTCTCTGAGCTCAGTTCCTTCGCCTGCAAGATGAAAATATCAGGGTTGTTGCTAGGATTGGATGAGATGATCTAAATAAAGTGTTTTGTAAAACTTCAAGTGCTATACAAAAAACAACTTTTATTTTTATTTAGATAGGAAAGAATCAAGAATTGATCATTTCATGTCTCTCTGACATTCAGTTTCCTCTGTGAAATCATGCATCACTGAAGTATGGAAGCACACATTTATTAAAAGGCATCATGGTATACTAGTTAGAGCTGACCTCAGATTCAGGAACACCTGAGTGTGAGTCCTTTCTTTGCCACATACTGGTGTGTGAGTGGGTCATAGAACCTCTCAGTGCCTGAGGCAACTTTCTAAAATTATAAATTGCAAAATAGATGTAGACCTGCATTGATGCATGAAGTTTCCTCAAAGGGAGTTCCTTACACTAATTAAATCACAGTCAGGTCCTCTTTCCACCCCAATTTATTTAATTGAGCTCCAACTTGGATACATTGATGTATTATCCTAGAAGTGTTCAGAACATAGTGGCAGTGGGAGATCTCAGTTATAGGGGAGATCATAGGGGAGGAAGACTGAATAAAAGATGTGGTGGAAGCTGTGGGGCTAGTCTAGCGTTTTCTCTGAATGGTGGCCAACTGCAGTATCCCAAATCCTGTCACTGCAGTCTTTCTGCAGATGCTTTCCAAGTTTAACTCAGCTCCTGCCTGCCACCTGGTGTTTTTCTGGTGCCAAGAAAATAAGAATTAAGTAAATTTTGCAAGCTTTTTTTTTCTTTTTCAATACCTACGATAACCCTTTGAGGTCAACTGTGTAGGCATGAATTTATCCATTTCATGGATGAGAAAACTGAGGTCAAGGAAAATTGCCTTGACTAAGATTACATAGGTAGTAAGTGAAAGAGCTAGTACTTGCACATAGGTATTCTGACAGTGAAGTCCAATGCTCTTTTCACTTTGCCACCATTGTCTTTAAATCAAGAGTCTCAAAAGCTAAATCAAGAGTCAAAAATGCTTGTTAGAGCCTCTCCTGCTGCTCAGGTCACCTGACCACCACTCTCTAAAGAACCAGAATTGTAGGTCACCCAAAGGTCAGTGACAAGTTGTATGGCAGATGTGAATAGGCTGAAGCATATTTCCAATGAAAATCTACGTGGAAAAGTGGTGTAAATGATATTCGGTTTATTTTAACATGCATTTATTCAGCACCTGCTATTTCCTGGCACTGTGCTGGGCGCATAAAGACAAACAATAACAGTAACTGCACTATCCTGCATTAGGGGAGAGGTGGCATATGTACAACACACACAAATAAACAAATATGATATAATTTGAGGAGGTGAGAGAACAAACAATTAGGGGATTCAACAATCAATCAAGCAATTAACAAGCATTTATTTATTTATTAACTTATAAATTTTTATTTCTTTTTAATTTTCAACTTTCAGTTTTATAAGATTTTGAGTTCCACATTTTTTTTCTCCTTCCCTCCTCTTCACCCTCCCCAAGACAGCATGCAATCTGTTACAGGCTATATGTGTACAATTATATTAAACATATTTCCCATTAGTCATGTTGTGAAAGAAAAATCACAACAAAAGGGAAAAACCACAAGAAGGAAAAAAAAAGAGAAAATAGTTGCCTCAATCTGCATTCAGACTCCATCTAGATTCTGGATATGGATGGCATTTTCCATCTTGAGTCTTTTGGAGTTGTCTTAGATCATTATATTACTGAGAAGAGTCAAGTCTATCAAAGTTGGTCATCACACAATGTTGCTGTTACTACATACAGTATTCTCCTGGTTCTGCTCACTTCAGCATCAGTTCATGGGATGGAGGTCAGGATTGGTAGATAGAAAGAAATGTTGAGTAAGATTTTTTCAAAATGGATATCCCTGGTTTGTAAAAGCATCTCATGATGTGTTCAATAAGCAGTTTAGATGTTCACATTCAATCCCTTTTATGATCATCACCAACTGAAAAACAATTGAAATCACCTATTTTAATAGTGAGAATGGAAGAAAATGTAAAAATACCTCATGGGAAAAACAACTGGCCTAGAAAATAGATGCAGAAGAGACAATGTCAGAATCATTGGACTACCTGAAAGCCATAATCAAAAGGAGGACCTAGGCAGCATCTTTCAAAAAATTATCAAGGAAAACTGCCCTGTTGTCCTGGAACCACAGGACAAAATAGACATTGAAAGAATCCACGGATCACCTTGGGAAAAACATCCCAAAATAAAAATTCCAAGGAATATTACAGCCAATTTTTAGAAAAAACAGGTCAAGGAAAAAATGCTACAAGTAGCCAAGAAGAAACAACTCAAATATCAGGGAATCACAATCAGGATTACACAGGACTTGGCAGCTGCAACATTAAAGTATCAGAGGTTATGGAACATGATATCACAGAAGGCAAAAGAGCTAAAACTGCAAACAAGAATCACTTACCCAGCAAAATTAAGCATAATATATCAAGGGGGAAATGTTCATTCAATGAAATAGGATTTCTAGCTTTCATAAAAAGACCAGAACTATACAAAAAATTTGACCTCCAACATCAAGACCCAAGAGAAGCATAAATAGGATTTCCAGTTCAGTGTTTAAATGGGGATTTCCTAGCTTCTTTCAAAATGCTCTGGTC